AAATTCTCACTTGAATTAGTGGTCTGCACCCTAAAGATCGCTTTTAGCGTTGTTTTAAGGACAACGTACAACAACACAGGACAGCACACTTCAATAGAGAAATAGCTGTTACACTGAGATTTCTGACTTGGCTGACTATCCATTTTTATTCATAAAAATTCAAATTCGTATAACACCTTATTGTCATTACGACAAACGTCGAGTTGAAAGTGACAAAAAGGAGCATTTTAACTGCTTAAACCTAGATTATGTTCCAAGTGCCCTTCTAAGTCTTGCTGATGCCATCAGCCCCTCAAAGACTGGTTAATTATCGATTTGCCCGGCGTTTAGTTAGTTGGTTGTCTTGCAGGTGATTGTTTTCTTCATGTTAACGGACTATAGTAATACACTGGACAACAAAAGAAGCTTGCAAATTCTGTCAAAGGCCACAAATAAAAATTCACTCCATAGAAATAAACAATTTTTACACAGGTATGCTGCAATACCCCTTGCTAATCACATGCCCAAAAGCAAGTGAATATCTTTATAACAAAGAAGAAATTGACATGCACAGCAACTTTGTTACTGAATCAAAGGTCACACACAAAAGCACTCCCCACCAAGCAAATATGACCCATGGATGGACATTTAAACAACCAATGACAAAGTGAACACCTGTTTTGTCAAAATGATGTGCATGACTGGTTTCTGCAAAGGGATAAAATCATTACTGAATATGCACACACATTATTGAAAAGTAATTATTGCGACTTCTTTATTTCGTCCTGTGACATTGATTTCTGGGTAAAACTTAAGGCTCATTCTGTTACATTCTACGACTTTTGATTCATTAACCAAGTTGCTGTGCATGTCAACGTCTTCTTTGTTATTAAGATATTCACTTGCTTTTGGGCACGTGATTAGTAAGGGGTATTGCAGCATACCTATGTACAAAAGTTGTTTATTTCTATGGAGTGAATTATTATGTATGGCCTTTGACAGAAGTGGCAAGTTTCTTTTGCTTTCCAGAATATTTGGGTATTTCCGGTTTGAAATTATTTCCATCGCGTTTGAACGAAATCGCGAAATGTCGTATAAATAAAGTCAGGCATTGCCAGTCCCGTGTGGGTGGATCAGCAAAGAATAACTAAATCTTCATCAGATTTTTAAAAATTAATTTGCAATTGTACCCAAAGAAAGAAGGCAATTGCGGAGATTCACCTATTCCAACAGCCAGGCAGTACGCTTAATGGGGTTGGCCTTGGCCTTGTATATCTTTTCGAGTCCATAAGGTTTGCAAAAACATTTACACTGCAAAAGACATCTTGGTCTCTAGATTAAATTCAGTATTTAGATTTGATGCCCACGGATAATGTAAATCGCCATCACCATATGGAAATACACTTAGATGGAGTAGTTGTGAGGAGTCGATTTTACAGGTTTTTAAATACGTAAATGTAATACAATACCTTCCAGTTGACTATTTTTCCTTTTCCAAAAGTTCCCATATAATTATTTGACAAACGCTTTCTTGGAGTGGATTTTCTGAATAAATAAATCAACAAAATAACTGCAAATTATCGAATCTTTGCACATTATATTTTCTGTTTCAGGGTTTGAAAAGCAAGCCACGAGTAATGTTGAAAGTGTTGCTGCAATGAATTTCCTTAGACACAATTTTTCTCAAGCTTGTTCTCTTCAGAGTATGAAAACTCCCTTACATTTCTATTTAGTTAATGTATTGAAAAGTGTACTTAAATCAAAACAAAAATGCACTGAACTGAAACCTCACAGGTGTACTCACAGCATCTTTACACGCGTGCCACACATTCAAAACGATCCGACGGGAACAGCCAAGTTTTTTCGGATTTCCCTTACGTCTTTTAGGGTGAACAAAGACTGTTCCATAGCCGATTGCAATCAGCCACGTGATTAGCTCAGAGTGGTATGAAGTGCTGGGTTTTCTCTTCTGTCTTACAGAGCCGGTCGATAATACCCGCTGTATCGAGCAAACGTAATGGGATCACAGAGTCAGTCTCCTATTGACACTGAGATGATGACAACATTGAACGTTACGGAAGCGTATTACCGCCACTAAAATAAAACAAAATTCTCGCCACTATCGTGTACGTACGCAATAACCAGCGTGTACGTACACAACAAGTTCAACTGAAATCGATTTCCACTATGCAACCAAGAAGAAAAAGAACTGAATATGGAAAATATTCAAATCCTAATGGAACTCCTTGAGGAACAAAATAGAGAAGTGTCGGTTAGGCATGGAATTCAACCCCCAAAAACCAAAACTGAAATCCGCCTACTCCGATGATGCATGGCTCAAACGATACAGACAAATACTCTTTGCCATCAGTTGCTATAAATTCGTATAAGAGAACCAAAAAGGTGACTGATGAAGTGCGGGAAAAAAGGCACAGAAAATATATTCTATTTCGCCCGGCACACAAGAAAAAACAGTTGGGACGGCATATAATCACTGGTGTACTTCAAATCATTAAGTGAATTAGAAACAAAACCCACAAATATACAAAAAACGAGCCCATGCGTCATCACCAAGCTCCGGATACGGAGTTTCAAAACTCCCACTCTCTTTGGGAAACACTAGCCAATGGGCCCGCGGGCGAGTTTTGTGTTGACAAGCGTTACCCACCAACTTTTTTGACCTTGCATGAGACCATGGAAGACTTCTTAATTAAGTATTGTACCCTGAAAATTAAGCAAATTGCACACAAACTTTCTAGGAAGCTCCGGTTTGCACAAACGCTACGATTGAAAAAGCCTGTTTGTATACTAACCTCCTCTCATCACCTCTCCGTGGATAGGCTCTCTGGGCCGGGCGCAGAACTTGGCTTGCTGATGTTGGTTAGAGTGCGCGTGTACAGCGGGGCTTGTGAGGTACCGGAACAATGGGAAGTGCCACATAGGGTACTTGTGGGGTACTGAGACCGTACGCGACAAAGATTTCACGAAATAGATATTTCAAACTTACGCAAAAAGGAGGAATTTTCAAGTGCCATTCATCCGTCACAAAATGAAGTATTTTAAATAAGGGACGTTCAGTTGAATTTTCAAAGTAGGAAAGAGAATCTGGTTCACATGAGAGTGATTTGAAATTTTTTCCGTGTTGTGCGGGAGTTTTGTACACGAGAACAAAGGGAATACCCGACAAGTACAGCTGTGTATGGTTACGTGTGTTCATGTGGGTGGCTGTGTACTACTGCCAACACCCCCAATAAACACACCCTTGAACAATGTTCATACGCTTATTACCAAAATCAAAATTAAAGCCAGGTGAAATACTAAAATACAAATGTGTACAATGCCTAAGTAACTGAGTAAATGAGCGGCACTACTTGATACACAAAGGAATAAATGTCACCTAGCCTACAGTAAGTTATGAGTCTACAAGAACTACAACCACACACGACCACAGTAGAGGATGCAATGGCTCTGATAGCTGCATGCACTACATGCTGCATATTAAGAAGCCAGCGGTGACCACTGAAGTGTGTGCTTAACAATACTGAAGGAATGCTACAGACAAATTTGCATCTAGCAAGACTAGGGTGCTTTGTTTAAAATAGGAGATGATCAAACTCCTGTAGACTGGCATGATCTATTTACAAAAATAGGGGTGATCAAAAAGGACACTAGAGTGTCTCTACCAGTGTTACTTAAAAGCGACATCAACCTAAAGATCTCACCATGCTGGTTGCAAAAAAGTACTCACATACGTCAGCTAAGAGACCGCTCGTCCATGAAGCTGTATATTTAAAATCAAACAGTAAAAAAAGAGTGTGAAGTGGCCCTGTTAATGCTGATAACAAATCTCCTGCTTTCCTTGCTAAAACAAATCTAATCCACGGCAGCAATCATTTTTGACTAATCCCGAAAAAAATCCTGTTTACAAAAGGATAAAATCGATTATTCCTTAAACCTTGCTTGCACAGACCAGTTTCTTCTTTTTTCTCAGCCATAGAAACACCTCACTAAACCTTGGAAAACAGTCTGCAGAAATCAAAATTCCTGGTGGCGGCCGAACTCCACTCCACCGGACTTAAGACGTAGAGGCGGCATGTACGATCACGCCCCTTTTCCCTATAAACATATGGATGCAGCGTGCACTTCCGCGTTTTCGTGTACGTACACGATAGTTATAATGTACGTACACGATGGGGCGAGTATTTTTTTTTTATTGTAGTGGCGGTAATACGCCTCCGTAGAAGTTCAAGTCTAAATGCAAAGATCGGACGAGATCGTAGTCTGTGGCAATAAACAGCTTCCTTCTTACGTCGACTGGGGAAAGTCGCTCCCTGCCTACATAGCTTTGCTGCAAGCCGAACAAAGGACAGCTACTATCCGGAAAAGTGGAAGTCAGTAGGTAATACTGTGCAATTATGAACATCAGAGAACGCATAGAGTACAGAACTGTGACTTCATTTTTTAATCAGGAAGTGCAGTACAAACAATAAGTGTGCGTGTGCATGCACTGGTTCTCACACTAATGCTTTTATGGGCCTGCCGACTAAATCGGGAACAGTTGAGTGTGCTTGGAGTACGGTTCAAAGGCTTCATCGTGTTTACATTGACGTTTAGAGGTTTGTATGTAGAGGTATTTCATAATAATAGTACTAAAGAATTTTTATAAAGCACCCTCCATAAAAAATTGTCTCCGAGCGCTGTGCAATAATATTTATTACAACATAATATATAACAATTAAAAATGACTTTTTTTGTTAAAATACAAAAATGTAACAGTTAAAATGAACTTAAAAATAATAAATTAAATACAATGACGGGTTAAAACATAACAACGAAGTATATACAAGGAATCGTAATCAATTAAATTCATTATCACCTGTAACTCATTTTAAATAAATGGGTTTTAAGAGAAGATTTCAAAGTGTCATACGATGCTGAAGCACGTATTGACAGTGGCAGTGAATTCCAAAGTCTGGGTGCACAAGCCTTGAACTCTCTGTCGCCGTAATACCTATCGCCCCAACGGGCTGATATAGAGTACGGTGTCCCATTAGAATTCGATCTGAAACAACGACCGACATTCTGAATATGAATTTGTTCTTGCAAATAGCAAGGAGCCAAACCATTCAAAGTTTTCTGTGTCAAACAAAGAATTTTATACTCACTCCTCTGTGAGACAGGGAACCAATGAAGCTCTTTCAGTACCTGGGTGATAGTATTGTCCTTCTGAATCCGAATGACTAAACGTACATCAGAATTTTGAATGGATTGTATTTTTGAAATTTCGTTATTATGAACACCAGGCAAAAGGCTATTGCAATAATCAATCCTCGAAGTTACAAAAGCAGGTACCAGCCGTTTTATAGCATTGGAATCCAAGCGAGAACGATTTTTTTTTTGATTTTCCAAAGTGCAAAGGATGACCCTTTGCACAAATCCGTAAATAATCACACATAATACCTTCTGAGTCAAATTATAACACCAAGATCATTAACAGTGGCAGACTGATGAATGTTAACGTCAATAATCCGTACGACAAAGTGCACTACCAAGGCGCGATCAGGGGCAAACCTAGACGAAAATGTAGTTGACTCGGTCTTTCCCGTCTATGAGAGCGAGCGACATCGATCCAAAGACGGACTATTCGCATTCATTGCTCCAAGACACCCATCGAATTTGTGGGACCTCGACAAGTAACATAAATTTGTGTGTCGTCGGCCTACATCACACAGTACAAACCATGTCGCTTTATAATATCTTTCATTGGTACTGTGTACAAACTAAATAGAACCGGACTCGACATTGACCCCAAGGAACACCATGCACAGTTTAACGGCTGGGATTTTGACGCGTTTGAACCAATAAACACTCGCTGCGTCCGTCCACATAAATATGACTGAAACCATTTTGATACAATGCTCCCAAAGCCAAATCTGAACTATAGTCTTTGAAGCAAGACATCGTGATTAATCGTGTCAAAAGCCATCCAAAGAAACAAAAGAATAAGAATGACCTCCTTCCGTTGGCCCAGACAAACTAATATATCATTCTGAACTCTAAGCAAGGCAGTTTTGGTACTAAAACCACTTCTGTATGCAGATTGATATTTTTTTTAGTATATAAAGAAGAGAGTGGCAAAGATATGAGTTCATCTGCGAATATACACACACATAAAGTTTGCCATTCTTGAATAGTGGACGAACTAATGCATGTGGACCCACCGACTGAATCGCATAATTATAAACATCATGCGTAAACACAACGGGAAGATGGCAAAATGAACACTTTATCCATAGGTACAGATGTCGTGACGTAAATTCCAAATTTTATGATTTCAGTATTTTGGAATGGGAATGGGCAATATATAATAAGGTTTCAGATTGCATCAGTTCATCTTCGTGGCCCTACACGATCTTTGGTCACTTTACAATCGCAAACCGGTTCCGAAGAGACAAACGCACAGTGCTTGCAGAGCATTGCGGCACGGGTACCGCATGTCAACCAAAATGCTTCATCTGTCGTTCTGTACTTGTACGGGTCTTGCCAAAGCCTGTTGCCCATCTGCCCGGGCCACGCAGCCCCTTTTGAAGTACCTGGATTGCGCTGTGACCTCCTCAGCTTTGTGCGCTGTCCACGGCTCCATTTCATTAACAGTGGGAACTTTGTGGGGGGTGCGCTAACCTTACATACCTAGTGTGGACCTGTGAACAAAATATGTCCACACGATGCAGGAAAGGAGAAGACGTCCACAGGACGTTTCCTCTTCTCTGAAAAAGAACTTTAGAGGAACTTTGGGATAGGGGTCATCAGTCGTAAAAAGAAGAGGAAAGGTCGAGGACACCTTGTACAAAAGCCAGCTAAACATTGTGTTCCCAGTTCAAGAAAGACTACTATTTTCACTGAGCTTTTTTAACTGCACGTAAAGGAAAGAATGTCCACAGTAGGTATGTAAGGTAAGTTTTAGTGTATAGCAGAAGAAAATATACATACATATGGAGGGATCCCGGCTGCAAAAGCAAACATTATATCGCGATACAATATCGGTGTGAGCCGGATAAACCAAATTTACGATAATGTGAACAGCGTTTTTGTTTTTTGGGGGGTGTTTTTTGTTTTTTGTTTTTGTTTTTTGGTTGTTTTGAAAACTCTGTTGATGAGCTGTTTAGATACTTTGCCCTGTGTTAAAATTCCGTAATTAATATATTCCAGAATCAAACTATTAGGCCAATACAGTGCGAGTCTAATGTTGCAAGGTGAAACCGATTTCATTCCATTAGTGATACCAACATTTTTGGGAAAAAAATCACATGTAATCTTTATGTGTTTTCGATGATAATTTACCGTCAATAAAATTAAGCCAAGGAATTTGGTACTTTTGACCTCGTTGATGTTATTGTTATCAATACAAACATCCTTTGGTAAGTATTTATAGAACTGCTGGATGAAATACAACTGGTTTTGCTGATAATTAGTGACAATTTGGTTCCTTTCAGATATATTGACCAGTTCCCTGTTAACAGTTTCTATTAACGTGATTATATTTATGTGTCCAAATAAGAGTCAGTCTAAAAAAGACAATACATCAGAAGATTTGATGAAGTCGGTAATAAAAATTGGAAATAGGAGTAGTCCGAGGATGCAGCCTTGGGGTACACCAGTACACCACATATCAATGTACGAGGAGTTTTAATTGACATAAATAACTTTTGACCCAATCTAATGGCGTACCCCTAATACCGTAAGGGTTTAGTTAGTGAAGAAGTAAGTTGTGGTCTGGGGTTATTTCACCCATCATTAATTGATAACACGTAACCCGTGACTTTTGTTCATTTGCAGAGTCTGAAAGTTGTAATCCTGTGGACAGACCATGGATAAATACTTAACATTTGAAGCTTGTAAGTTTTTGCAAATATTAAGAAAAAAACTGGCGTTTTGTCTTTTTTGCTTTAAATCCAATCAACTGAATACGAACCAAATGTAGTCATAGGTCAAACCCTTTGAACTAAGTTGTTGAATTCTCGCAAAAATGTATTTTGGGATGAATATCCGCCTCAAGGAGAAGCACTCCTTCATGAATTGAAAAGAGCCATATGGATGGGAAGTGTTCATTTAGTTGGTAGAGATGAGACCGCAACGCGTGCATTTCAAAGTCGTTCGTGAACCAGCGAAATTCAGTACGTGCCAAAGAAGCCTGTGTTGCTTAGAAAATGGTGCCCTCTCTTGGTCCAACTCGAGGCTCATATCTTTGATCTATGTGCACTTCATTCATGTTCTTCTTAACAGTTTCATTTGCTTCCGAACTCAATTTCTTATAGTTTTTAATTACAGCGAAAATCGTTCTTTAATCCTCAAAGGCCTTACATTTGAGAAATCTTCTTCCTAGTTAAACAATACACCTGTCATTGACACTAGTCTTTGCTGTGTTTCCTTCAGACAAAAAAATATGGTCGCAGCCCGTTAAATCGGTTTCCGTTGAGTACGATGGCATCAAACTGCACGAAGGAGGGGACGAGGTGGTGAAGGCCCTGAAAACGTTCGAAGTTAGAGACGAAGACAGCTGGGTCGTAACATTTCCCAAAGCCGGTGAGAGAAGTCGTTTTTATTTTAAATTTCCGTGAAAAAGACGCCATGTTTCCACCCTACACTCCGAGTAAAGTCCATCCATCAATAAGTGCATCATTAACAATATTATTCTCAGTAATGTAATGAAAAAATCGGCATCACCAATGGATACATCCAGCTTTACTGGGAATTTGGTGGAGCTTTTAGGTAGGGTTTGTACCCACACGTGTATTTAGGCTTTGATTTTTTCCTTGGCAGGAACAACCTGGGTTCAGGAGATAATGTCCTGTGTGATGCATGACGGGGACTTGGAGGCTGTCAACAAGAGACACACCGTGTTCCGAGTGCCTTTCCTGGAGATGAGTCCACCGTCTAGCGTCCTCCAAGGCAAAACGGTAAATAATCTCTCCAAATCTCACTGTGCAGTCGTTCAGGATGTAAAACACCTGCGCAAGACGCGCTGATATTTGGCAACCAGTGACCTTCATACTGAAGCCACGTTCACCAATCTCGCCGAAGGTCGCGGCTGCCTCTTGGTCTTCAGAAACGTTGGATTGTATTGGATTGGGTTTATTCGGTATTACCTCACAATGTAGTGCCAGGGATAGCCCATGAAAGTTTTGCGACTTATTTCCAATAGGGTCCCTACTGAGTTAAGAGGAAGGGCCAGTTTTAGAGGCTGGAGGAAACCGGGAATACCCGGAGAAAACCTGCGAGAGGGTATGGACTGGAAACCAAATGCACCTAAAGCCTTGGCCAAGTCGGGACTTGGACCGCTATGCAATCCCGCTCCCCCCAGGTTTGAACCGTAACTGCTGGAATTCGATGAAAGCGGGCTAGACTTTAACGCATAAAACAGTTTGATGATTTTGGAAGGCCAGAAGGTCTCATTTTACAGTACAAGCAACCAAAGCTCGAAGCTTTTAAGGTGGCGACGGCGCCCCCGTTTCAAGAAACGGCGTCCATTCTGAACAATCCACCTCGAGTGGAAGAACCTCCTTATCGGTTGAAAAGAGCGGCGTTGGTCGTGAATGTTCATTTTGTCGGTGGCCGCGCGACAACGCTTGCGTTAGTAATCATTCGTTAACCAGCGATGCGCAGTTAGTACCAGAGCGTCCGTTGCACAGGAAATACCGCCCTCTCTTCGTCCAGATTGAGGCTCATAGCAACAATGTCGAGCTGATATTCTTTATTTTCGATACATTTTTGTGCTCTTAAGATTGACTATTGCGGCCGTGTTTTCGTCTCCAAAATATTTTCTAAATCACATAAGGTAATGTGCAATTAACTGGAAAAGTACAGCTATCCTATATCGGGAGTTAGGTGTGGCCTACGTACGTTTAAAAGCGGCCTATGACTTGAGTAAAGTTTAAACGGCACTCAGTGTCCGTATGGAATAAGTGAATAAATTTCGGAGAGTCCTAACATCTGCAGAATGTTTTCTTCTCCCCAGGTGCCTAAAACCCACAAGATTGTGGACTCGATTCCGTCGCCTCGGGTCATCAAATCGCATTTACCCGGTCAGTTCCTACCTCCCCAGCTCTGGGAGAAGAAGGCCAAGATTGTTTACGTCATCCGCAACCCCAAGGACGTGGTCGTGTCCTACTTCTACTTCACAAAGATGGTCGATCCCGAGCAAAAGGAGCAGTCATTTGGCGAGTTTTTTGACGACATGATGAATGGAAAAGGTGAAAAGCCAAAAGCACATTTCCTCTGTTATTTGGCACAAATTACTAGCACCCGCTTTGACCAGAAGCACCCCCACATGGGTTGAAAAATGAAAAAAAAAACCATCCAGGGAAGAAATTTGACGTATATTACCAAATACACATGATTCGGATATCCGCTCCAATTTTATAATCTGAAGAAAAATCCATGTTGTGTTCCCCAGGTGAATATCCGTTGTTTCTTATGTTGTCATTTTGTGGATTTGATGTTAAATTTAGCAACAATGACAGTTGGCATTGCGACAAATGCTAAGTTAAATTCGGAGCGTCTTTTCACATCTTTCCTGTAACGTGTGATGTTCACGTTTTTCTCCTCTCCAGTGGAGTACGGCCCGTGGTGGGACCACTACTTGTTCTTCTGGAAGAAGAGACACGATCCGAAAATCCTGCTGGTGAGATTCGAGCACCTGAAGAGGGTAAGCGTGTCGAGCATCGTTCTCTAAAATTTCAGCATGCAAACATCCCACAGAAGTTGCCTTGGCATGCTGAAAATATGACGGTGCTGTGATTTTGTATAGGGTTTGGTGTATTTGGCACCATTATCAAACAAACAAAAACAGCAATATATTTACATGCTATGAAAACAAAGCACTATAAATACACTCACAGTTATACAGCCTTAAGTGAAAAACACCTGATGTATGCCAAGAGAGCATGTACACCAGCCGAAAAATGATATTACTAGAAAATCGACTGGAGCATCGTAGATGCGATTATGAGCTTTGTGGAAGAGTGGGTGATGTGGTTGTTTTGGCACCGTTCAGAGTACTTTTTCTTCATATCTTTCCATTCTGAGAAGAAAATCAAAGGATATCAACACGAAATACGTTTGGATTAGCTTGGGCGTGCAATGCTTGGCGATCATTCATACTTGGAAAAACAGTGAGAATAAAGCGCAACACTGCACAACGTCCTCCAAAACGCTGCTTCACGGATGAATTGCATTCTTCCAGAAATCAAGCACAACATTTGGCGCTGTTTAAGTCTTGTTGTTAGATGATTATTCGCACACGAGATGATAAGCATTATTGTACTCTTTCACTTCCAGTAAAGATTGAGGGGGACACCAGGCTCGCCTATGTTTCGATTTCAATATGTGTGTGTGTTTTGTTTTTGTTTGGTCTTTTTGGAAGAGGGATGGGAAGTGGCGTAAATCTGTGCTGGAAGAGGGATGGGCAGTGGCGTAAATCTGTGCTGGAAGAGGGATGGGCAGTGGCGTAAATCTGTGCTGGAAATTGGGGGCCATGGAAAGGTGGGGAATGACTTGCCTGACCATGGAAATTCAAAATGGGGGGGGGGGGCTACACCATGCACACTATATAGGGGACAATGTTCATGATAAAGATGTTCATCTGTAATTTTTATCAAATTCATTCAGGATCCTACATCAGATCACCGTATATATGGCTTTATAACATTGTTTTCCATTTTAGTGATGTTCCAAACATTTTAAGTCGTTTAAAAATCATAAACATTCTTCATAATCCGCTTACTTCTTTGCTCGTCACAAAAAAGTTGGGGGGTCATTCAACAGCCCATCCACCCACCTCAAAAAGTGTGTGTGGGGGTATATACCCCATCCCCCTGGGATTTACGCCATGGGGATGGGTGACAGAAAAAATGCCTTCCCCTTCCCCTTTTGGTAAATTCCGGATCCGTCATGAATATCAGTTACCCTTTTTTCAGGATCTGAGAGGCAGTGTTGAGAAGATCAGCAAGTTCTTGGGCAAAGACTTTTCTGCGGCGACATTGGACGCCATAACGGAGCACTGCACCTTCGCTAACATGAAGAAAAACCCCATGTCCAACCCCGATTCGATTTGGGTCCCGGCAGAAGCGGCCACTTCCTTCATGAGAAAAGGTGAGCGGGTTGGTAGCCTGTCATAAATACTTCAAGCGATGGGCGTGATTGGAGACTTCAAACATCTTTCTGCAAAAGATAGGGCCTCTTTTTCTTTTGTTCGATTCGGGAAAACCAAAACTTTTGGATAATGTTGTCCACAACTGGAAATAAAAACAGAGATGCTGTTGATGGTAAAAAATATGAACATATCATTTCAACGCATTACACTGCACAAACGAATACCATGCATTCTGCTATATAAACTTGAAGTCAACCTTTTCACCCTTCAGTGCTGGCAGGTGTGTTTTGCACTGTTTTTGAAGGACAGATCACGATAAAAACTTAACCAATTTTTGGTGTCATTTTATTTCTCCCGTCTCTGGTGTGTGTTGTTTTTTTTATTGTGTGGGTGTGTGAGTTTGTTTCTGCATTCAATTGGGGACCCTGAACAATAGAGGAAAATAAGGTCCCCGGTTGACAGAGGGTCCCCGATTGACAACTGTGTCCAAAACATATGGGTGGTCTTCCAAAAACGTTTTAGTACAAACAAAAGAGGAACAATAGGGGGTCATAGTTGCGGGCAAATACACACTTACATATGTGTTTGTGTGTTATGCTCAGGCAAAGTTGGCGATTGGAAATCGCATTTCACTGTTGCCCAGAACGAGGCGATGGACGCCTTCATTCGGGACAGGTTCTACGGGACTGGATTGGCCTTTGACTACTAGTCGACCGCCCGAAAGCATTTCTGTTCGGTAATTAGAACCAATTTCATGGTTATTGGCCAAAATGGCAAAGTCATTTGGAGGTGTGTTCTGAGTTTTAAGTTTGGGGTGACCTATGACTTTTCTTATTTTTTTCTGTTTTTTGTCAGTCGAGGGTCAGAATGCTCTAGATTTTAGAAACATTTCTACAGTTTCCTATGTAGAAATTATTAGCGAGCTTCCATGGATTTTCATTTTTCCCCTTTCCCTTTTCTCATGGTAAACACAATTTATTTACTTTTAGCAGATCAATCAGGTGATAGTTTAAAATAAGATTTGAGTGCCTCACATCTCGGACCTAATAGGGCGGAGTGCGCCCTCTATACTGGTCGTAAGCTGAAGGGGAAAATGCAGCATTTGGTCAAGTTAAAGATTTTCCCATCGTGTCGGGGAGGACAGCTTTCCTTTGCTGTAACACCTATCAAAATTCTTTTCAGTTAGAAAGAAATCCCAAGACAGTGGGTCGTATGAATAAAAAGTAGTATGTACTTTTACTACCATTTTCGAAGCATTTACTCGTGTTTGTAGGAATAATAACGAAGCAAATGCTTTTACTTTAGTGCAATTGCTAAAAAGTAAAATTATTTACTTTTTACTCTTATAAGCTTGTGCTTGACAATAAGCAGTTGCTTCATTTTGTATGAATAAAAATGTTAAGTTCTACAGAATTGGAGTAGGCCTATTTACTTTACATGGGTCAGGGCAAGCTTGAAAACGAGGAGCATTTACTAGGCCTAATGTTTAAAATGGCAGCGTTCGTGGATGTCATTGGAAAGGAGAAGCTGTATGCCTTTAGAAGGGAATCTCAAGAAACCAGATGTAGGCAGATGTACCGATTTGAAAGTGGCAGAGCATTTTTCTTCATCAAGGTTTCTGCGATCGAAATTACTGCCATCATGCTTAGGCCTACCTGTCATGCTGAGGTCTAAAGATGCAGTACCGTGCTGCACTGTGTGTGTCTGTACGTGCGAAGCCCTGTTGTGCAAAACCGTTCGGCTGTGAAGTCAGCCACAAGCATAAAGCATTTGCTACTATTTGTACAAGCAGATGCTGAACAGTAAAAGAAACATTTTTATTCATACAAATTCAAGCATTTGCTTATTCTTAATGGTTTTACTTCTCAGTAAATGCTTTTGCTGTTTGCTTGAACTTCATAGCATTTGCTAGTTTTTATTCATACGACCCAGTATCACCATGCTTTGGTCATGAAGTGGTGAAAACAGCCGATAGGTATGTCACACTTTAACGACATAGGAAATCTCGAGTAGGCCTACTTAAGCCAATCACTGAGCTTTACACCAATCACTGAGCTTTACACCAATCACTGAGCTTTAATACAAAGTATTCACCTTTTATTGCACAGAGTTGCACCAAAAAAATACAGCTAGTTTGGCAAACTTGTTAAAATTACAAAAAGATATAACTGATCGCAATGGTATACTTCAGAAGCAATAATGACTTCACTTTATACTTAAAACCAACTCAGGTTAGCTTCAGTGTATGGGCGCATCATTCACGTTTTGCTGGTTTTAACAAAACGCGAACTTGCTGAACCATGACCTACAATTCACTGCACACTGAATACCATGATAGTATAAGCCATGAAGCGGATAATGCCAAGTATCTACGACCCACATCAACATTCTGTGAAGGAAACTAATTTGGCATCAAAATATGTAGGCCAGGGAAAGGCATTATGCACAGTCTGTACTGTGCGCCCTCATCGAGGACAGATCTTTGATCCTCTGTGACAATACACGTGATGACCTTTTGTGTGCTATCACTGAATTCAAAGAGAAAACATATTATCACCGGGGAGGGCCCACCATGTGGGCTCTCTGTTCACTTACTTGCTACTGTGTTTCCTTTTTTCATCAATTGAAATATGCATGTTGTACAGTTGAGAGAAAAAAAACATGTTTAAAGTTAGGCCTGCGTATAGTGTTGTCATCATGCGTGTAGTACTTTACGTCACATTGCGTTCGTCTCTACAACTTTGTAGTTTACTAGATAAAGATTAATAGACTTCATAACAGGCCTTTGAAACGACCTAAATATATCAGCAGCGGGTATACTCAACACAGAATACATTTTTTATTACTTTACTATGTGCTAATTTATTTTAAAAGTTAGTTTCATTAGCTAAACAATATAAAAGTAAGTAATGTATTTAACTATTATTGTTTGCAGATTTAACGCTGCCGATTATTAAATCATTGCTCTGCCTGCATATTACAAGTAGCGGCTTTGCTTTCGGTGGCGCATATTAATAAAACATTGTGTTGAATTATCTTGGTACAATGTTATCAAGTTACCTTCCCTGATAATTGTTCGCTAAGTAAGTTAAGTAAGAGAGTGATGGGGAAGAGCGTTTCGTAGGGTCAATATGCGATAGTTCAGTGGATAAAAATTGTGCAATTTACGATGTCGTATAGGCACATCACTTTAGTTGGATTACTACTGGTTAACCTCAGCCTTTTCTCTTAGGGGCGTTAAAAATACACTATTTCAATGGTTGTGAAAGTAGATTTAAAACTCCACCTTACGGGTGGTTGGCTGACAAATAGCAGGTGATGTATGGTTCACTTTCTTGTATTCTGGCCTGCCTTCCAAAAACACATTGTTGTTGAAAACAACATTCACAGCTAAAACAGGTTTACACATTCCCTTCACAATTTTAATGGCAACGAAATATTCAAATACAGAAAAAATGGAGAGCGCCCTCTTACTCAGCCAAGAATTCCTGATTAGCCTTAAAGTCCTACGTTGCACTTTAGGCGATAAGTTGACCGTTATGCTACTATGGAAGCGCATTGCAGTTTACTTTTTTTGCCAATAAGCTGAAGGCATTAACTGCACAGATCAGGCCTTGCAAAGCGGATGTGTTTAGGGTTACATTACCCAAAACTCAGATATGGGTTTTTTCATATGCGGTAAAATTATATACAGCAATGACAACTTCAGTCTAATCCCGTGACCGCCTCTCAGTGGAGATGACCCAACTCATAGCTACACACAAGCTGCGGAACGCCTTCTGTCAGTAAAACGGAGGGGGGCAGCACTAGGGAGAGCCACTGGACGAGGCTGACGAGGCCGCAGCCGTGGCCTTGGCTAGACTGAGCGGCGTGAAGGCTGACGACATGGACGGCCGGAGCGTGGCCTTCCCGCCCCCCAGCTCCACCGCCTTGTAGGCGCGCGGCAGGGCCACCGACGTAGGGTACAGGGTATTGTGCGAAGGATGGGATAGCAGAGGGCCCGCATGCGACTGGAGGCTGCCTATCTTCTTGTGGCGGCGCCATTTGGCCCGGCGATTGGAAAACCACACCTGCGATGCGTAAATCAGGATCAAAACCTTACCGGTCGAGGAGCAGAGGACACAAACAGCTGGTACCATCCAACTTGCAACTGTGATAGGCCGTGTCCGAAACGGGCTTCCAGAGCTACGGCTAGGTCTATTGTCTAAGCGTCTCCACACTTTTCCAACGGAGCGAAGACCTAGACGTAGCACTAGACAACAGATTCGGTTGCAGCCATAGTCTGAACAACGTACACATGTAAATAGACCATATTCGAGGCGTCCCCAATTTCAGTCGCATTCGTACAGTATCAATTTGAATCCCTCAGTGGGATGGTACAACGTGATTTGGGGGGTCTGAATGAAATGGTAGAGCATAGTTTAGTTCCTTGAATTTAACGTTTTCAGATAAATACACTACGTTGGGGAATATGACTGGAATTGGACCCCACGAATAGGGCCTATTTTCCAATTTGTCTCAAAGGCAGTTACATGCACTTATTTCCATATCCCACAAGGATGGATGCTGATGCTGTGTTTAGTCATGAAACAGTAAAACGTCTTATTTTTACCCATAATAATTATGTGTTTGAAATGCGTGTTGTCAAATTAGGCGAGTTTCGTGAGAGACAAACATCAAAATCTTTACGGCTGCTTTTTTTTCCATCCCCATTAAAACTTGTAGACAAATGGGTCGTTCCAGTGGTTGTAATTTAAACATGCATTTCGTCTCCAAGCATAGCAATGCTTCTTGGAACAAAAAGTTCTTTCTCTGTTTTCCCTGTTTCCATTCTATTTGCGAGGCTGAGGTGAGAAACTCTCTCGCAGAGAGACACAGAATCTATGTTCATCATTTCAGACCGAATGTGGTAAGCCCACAAACTACATGTGTAGCCCGCTCTGTGAAATGAGTCTTAAGTCGCCAGAGCCACTTTGGAGTAGAAATTCCTTTAGAATAATTTTGCACATTGTAAACCAATAGGAACCCACAACATTTTTCACCATGGAGTATCCACTTTCATCAGGATGCCAAACTAAGTGATACACCAAAACTAAAAATTCAATTGCTCTTTCCAACACGAATGAAAACTCATACAGTGGCTCTGGCGAATTTAAGACTCATTTTCACAGAGTTGGTCACGTATGTGTCTTTCATTAGCACTTGGAAATAGACACAGGTTTTCAACATGCAAAAGAAGAAATGAGCCTGACAGGCTCGTACCTGTACCCGAGCTTCGGAGAGCGTTGTCTTGTTTGCCAGGTCCTCTCGGGTAGAGACGCAAGGGTAGTGCGATTTCTCGAATTCTTTCTCAAGAATCTGGAAGACGGGAGAAAATCAACAGACGGTAAGAATAAATTTGGCATAAAGACACTAGCTACTAAGGGCTGGTGTTCTCGTTTGTAAATAAATAGGTATTTTCCAAAGAGGTAGCGTTCCTCATTACTGGTGATACCTCTTATTTGAGCTAACCTCGATCTGTTCAGGGGTGAAAGTGGTCCTACTCCGTCGAAGCTTCCGTCTTTGCTCTTCACTGATCGCGTCCCTGTAAGGGGAGGGATCCAACTCGGGCTGATAGACCTTGCTCTCCGAGGAGGAGACGGGCGTCGCTGGCGAAGGGGAGCGGGGCCTTGGACTGGCCGAGGAAGACGAGGCAGAGAAGGGCACATCGCTTTGGCTCTCAGTAGCCAAAGGCGAGGGTGAGTTGGAAGACGGTAGGATACCTGTCCAGTAAAGAACACACCATGTAATCTTTTGCCCGTTATAGAACTGTTGTAATTATCTGAGCACTACTAAAGCTCCGTTATGGCATTAAGGCATCAGAATGGTACCAAACCATTTATTTTTAAAGGTGCACAGAATGAGAGAAGTACGCTCAGGGTCACCTGTATTGTACCTTTTTAGCGCATACACCTAAGAAACTCTACAATGTTTTATAGTATCGGGGCATTATGATGTCGTATGTTAACTATCAGCATAGGGCATCTTATTTCATTGGCTGAAGGTGAGACAAAAAATCAAGTGTCTTACTCGGAGGATACGTTCCATAGGGCGAACCACACAGGAAGCCGGAACAACACGCTCTCAGTGTCTGCCGTGGATCAAGCCTCCTGTCAGTGATCCTCATGCCGGGTCCAATAGCATAGGGCGGGGCATAGTGGGTCCACGCGGTGGCGTAGTCACTCAGGTATGCCTGTTCAGTGGCCCGGGCGTACTCGGCGGCTGCGCGCTCGGCGGCGCGATTGCGCAGAATACGGTTGATGGAGCTGACGCTGGGCACCGTTGAAGTGGTGCAGACACCTGGGATGATACATGAAGTTACCCACAAAAATATCTACGTGTCCTCGTAACAGATGTAACAGAGTGTTAGATTCAATTCAAAATTCAAAGACTTATTCAAAATTATGATGCGAAGTATCAGTTTAATTATTTGACTTTTTTTTAAAATGCAATGATTAGAGCATTTGGACGAAGCGCCCTTTTCAATTCAGGCTCGTGCAAGATAGGGTTGGTCTACCGTACCTTCCGAGATGAGCTTGTCTCGGATTTCCCAGGCGAAGATGGTTGGGTTCTCTTGCTTGTACCGCTCGATTTTCTCCACGACGGTGGGTGTGGCCACTTTAGGTTTACTCCCTCCTATGGTTCCAGGACGAACAGAGCCGGTTTCCAGAAATCGACCTGAAAGATTTGCTGTTTTAGAACTATATACATATATAGGAGGCCGCTATAACGTATCAGACGTGTTTTTGAGATTGCACCGAAAAATGAAGATTGGAGAAGAAAGAAGAGGACCAGTAAAGGTTTGATGTGGTGTAGTTTAGAGTTTGAGCCTTGCCCCATATCCTATAATGGTCAGAGAAACGACGATCATGGCTTCAGTATCATCAGATGCTACAGATGATCCAACTGGTACAAGCAAATCACGTAGCAGAATGAAAATCCAAGATAGCGGACGTATCCGCCGCGATAGGACAGGAAGTTTAAGTTCAGGGCCACCGAGCTCTAACAAAACTCGTTTGTTACATGACCTTCCATCGCCCAAGAGTATTTCAGAAAAAAAAACCCAGTAAGATCTCTAGTTAGACTATAGTAGAGTGTGCAGCTCTAGCATGTCATAAACAAGTTGGTGATGATGAAAAAGCTGTGCGTTGTAACCCATGTGGCAGATGGACACACCGGGCATGTGCTGGCTTTAACCAGACAGACTACACAATGGTTTCAAAGAAAAGTAAAATACCAAGATTATCTTATGTGGCTCTGCAATTGGTGTTTGCCAGCAGTGTCATGTTTCCTGGAAGGTAGACACCACAGCTCATCACGTCCAACTCTGAGTAAGCTTTGCTCTAGTACAGACATCACTGAACTAAACAAGAAACTAGACGAGATGAACGAGGGTTTCGAGAACTTAGAGAAAGCAACTTTTCACAGACAAGAAAAAATGGAAGAAGTGATAGAGGAAAAAAGTGGCCAATTACTTGGAGGGACACAGTGAAAAACAGATGAGACCGTGTAATCCCAGAATCTGTTAGTGCGGATAGTACAGATAGGAAAGCTTATGATGTAAATCAAGGTAGAGAAATTTTGGAATATCTAGAAGACACAGGAGTTTCTCAGCCAGTCAGACTTGGGGAAAAACCAGAAGGCAAGAGTAAACCATGCATATTGAAAGTAACTGTCATTAATGGAGAATGTGAAAAACACGCTTTAATGAGAGCCAAGCAGGTCAGAACGAGTAAAGACTCCAATTTACAGAAGGTCTACATTACTCGATTCGACCTTTTGTGAGAGAGGAAAAAAGGAAACAGTAGGGAACTTCATGCAGAGCTTGCTACTAGAAAGAGCAGGGGAGAAACAGGGCTGGTGATTAGAAATGGGAGAATCATCAAGAGTGATAAGCCGTTTCGAGGCGGCGGAAGAAAGCCGAAAGACGATGGTGCCGACGAAGAGGTGTAATTTCAGTTCAACCAACAGGAAATCAAGTAATTCTAAGGACAGCACTTTTGCATCCAGCACCTCACGATGCACCAATTCTGCAGAAAGTGAAGTCATTAGTAATAGTCAACCAGTCGCTGATGCACGGAAGCATGACAACAGGAACTGGATTAAATTGCGGTCTAAAAGTTCTTAACCAAAGAAAATAGCTGAAAACAGCCATAGTCACAGAACACATGACAAGAGTAGGAAAGATGACAGCATGTGATTAGCCATAAGGTAAACAACGAAAACTACAAAGTGAAACGAGAACGAAGTTGAGAACCATAATGAGAATATACATGAGATTGGCCATTCATGAAAGTCCTCCAGGGTCAACCATGAAAACAACAAGAACTACGGCAACAGAAGTGCGGGCACTACAAATGAAGGGAAAACAACAGACAAGATTACATGCTACTAAACAAACATCCAAGGTTTGATGAGCAAAAGAGCAGAGTTGGAAGCAACAATAGACGAGCTGAAGCCGGACATGATTGGGATAACAGAAACTTGGTACAGCAGCACTATACCGGAAAGTGAAGTTTCACTTGAAAATTACACCATGTTTCGGCTTGACAAAGATTCCCCCACCGGCGTTGAGGGTGGAATTATCCTGCTTGTTCATGACTCGCTTTCAGCAGTTGCTTGCCGTGAAATGAATAACATCAATTTCCACAGCTCGGTATGGTGCTTAATCAAGTAACAAGAGCATGAAAATCTACTTGTTGGTCTTTGCTACAGAAGCCCAAACAGTCAAGACGACAACAACCAGAAGTTAAGAGACCAAATATTACACTCTGCCAATTTCATCAATGTGACGCATCTTCTTATTGTGGGAGATTACAACTTCCCTTGGATCGACTGGAACACTGGCACAATTGGTGCAAGTCCAACTCCAGAACCACATATATTATATAACATCATCCAAGATGTGCACTTTGTTCAACATGCGGAGAAACCAATTATAAGTAGAGGGGGTCAAATTGAAACGATCCCTCCTAAACTTAGTGCTCTCCAGATATGAACAGATAATTGACACTATTGAACATCATGCAGCACTTGGCAAAAGTGACCTTGATGGCCTTTCCTGGACCTAACAAACCAGAACCAATGTCCACATCATCGATAATTCAACCTTATTTTACAAATACACTAAAGGAACCTACCAAAGTCATTAAACCTCACTTAGAGTATTGTGTACAAGTTTGGAACCCTTACCAAGTCAACGACATTAACACCCCAGAAAGAGTGTAAAAAAGAGCGACAAAGTTAGTTCCAAACCTCAGACACAAGCCATACCATGAAAGATTGAAAGAATTACAACTCTACCCCCTGGAGGTCAGGAGAATGAAAGGAGACCTGACTGAAGTGTTTAAGATCCTGAATGGGTTGGATGACAGACTACCAACCAATTCAAAAACTGGATCGACAAACATTGGGAAGAAAATGGATATAGGGATCCAGACCGTTTAAGCCTATAATTTATACCCATCAATCGTAAGTGCAGGTGTGCAATCAGGAATGAATTCAAAATAGGCCTAAATGTAACTTTGGGGGGGGGGAGCATCGGTACTTGTGTTTTTTTATATTCTTGATAAACATGTATTAATTGTGTACATGTACTTGTAATGTGCTTTCAGTCGATCCAGTATAACTTCACAGACATTACCCCCCGTTTTGGAAACAATTTTCAACAACAACAAATTAGAAACAAAATGGCGATTAGCTGATGGCAGGACTTGCGACAAATCGTGCAATACGATTGCCGGATCATGCAAAGATCGAGGGATCGCTCAGATTGTTCACAATATTGTTTACAACATAGATTACAATAAACATGTTCCATACCAATATAGCATTAATTTATTCTGGTGAATGTGACGTTTCGTATTAAACTGTTTTTAACCTTGAGTATGTTGAGTATTGGACGAGCTGAGTCGAACCTACACCGTACATTCTTTCAACAGCAATTTGTTCTGATACAACAGAACTAGCCAGAAACTGCTTGCATCTTTAAAAAAAGAGGACTCCATTATTCGACTTTAACTTCGTTTTTATTTAAATTAGGGAGAGTTAGAGCAGCTGTTTCCAATCCTCAAAAGCAATACGTGTAGTTTGGGGTCAACTGCATATGCCAAGTGGTCATGCTTTTCAGTTGTGAATAACTTGATCTACCACGTTTTGAAAATAGAAATAGTCCTACCCAAGATCTTATTAACGCAGCCATGAGACACCAGCAGTTGCCGGGATATGTCGCAAGGTCGAGCCCCACAGTGAGCCATCTCGATGATGCGGTGACGCATTGTCTCCGGTAAGGGGCGCCCGTTGGCAAACATACCACCGAGTTGGTTGAAACCGGCGTCAACTGAATGGAAATGCGGTGTAAAACTTAGTCATTTAGGATTGATTGATCACAACAAACGTTCACAGTCTGTTTTTTTTAAATCAATCCTAAAGCAATTAAAAACAAGTATATCTGGTCTGGGTCTGCTAAAATCTGAATTTACATCGGATATTGATAGAATTATAAATTTCTGGACCACTTGGATCCAGAAACGCATTTAACGATGAGAGACAGAAAACGATTAGGACAAAATCCCAGTATTGTATTTCTAACGTAAAACAGCGTAAATTAGAAAATAACTGCAAAACGTCTAACCATTACCTGCAGAATGTTACATTTTGGGACACACGATGTCAATGTTAACGCCTGTCTATACGCCTTCAAACACATTTTCAACGACGACAGACAAGTCCTCCAGTTGAATATTCAACCACAAAAGTCAGCAAGCACACTCTGGCCCGGCAAGTTAATATTTCTAGTAATGTTTGAAGACTGTTAGGGGACATCAAATAACTATTTTCTTTGCAGGTAACATTGCAAAATAATACGATAATGCAGGCCGTGCTGGATTTGAGTTTCATGGATTGTTATAAAAGGAGATAGGCTTTTTCGAAAATAAATTGCAGCTGCAATTGTATAGTACGCTCAGCTGTCTTTTATTTACACTTTTATTTACTATTGGTAATGACTGGTTTTATTATGTTACGGTTTGTAAAATTATTCTGTTATTACTCATAGGAAACTAGAGGTCAATAAAAGTTGACTTAGCAGAACTAAATGTAATAAGTCGGTGTACTCAAATGAATGCATAATATTGTAGTGGTCATTACTTTTAGAACAAAAAAGAAATTCCACTCCGAATAAAAAAAGTAAATACAATTAGCCCGTGCGCATATGAATTAATTCCTAATTGATTATTTTTATATCATAATTCCTAGAAATATATCAGAGAATCTTTGAAAAAGTCTAGTTTTTGTGTTTCTCCGAAGGCGTACCGTTTGTTTTTATTAGGCTTCAAACATTCACGATCTCACACGTAAAATCCATCAAGTTTGAATTACATTCTCTGCAACCTCTTTCAGAATTTTGTCTGACTCAGTATCGTTTACCAGTGTGGAGAAATTGACGCACGACAACTCACAACGATCTTACACCAAGCCTATACAAAAACACCGATAACCATAGATTAGCTGCGTTGCGATACTCACCTCCGAAATGCATGCCAGCTTGCCGATCAAACTGAAAAAAGTCTGGCCGTCGTCCGCGCCTTGTCGCCCGGAGCGATGTTAGAGGCGTACGCTCTTCCCTCGTCGAAAAAAAGGGGAGGTAAAGTTCTCGGTGTTAATCGTGCCCCGGAGCGATCGTTCAACCACGAGCCATCGGATCCGGTGCCCGGGATTTAGACTGTCGTCCCCCGTGCCTGGCCCGTCAATTTAAACCTGATAAGGTGTTATTAATTACATTCGAAAGGGCGCTGGTCAACAACGGCGGACAATGGTCGCGTGTTTTGGTTACAATGTAAAGGGCCCATTCATGCGAACCTCCCGAATGCAACAGGCGTTGTCAGGCCGTGAACGCCTCCGCGCATCGGCGCAGCACACAGGGTCGGAGTGCTGCGTAGACGGCAGTATCGGCGGCCGATATTGCATTTGCGGCAAAAAAAGACAATATCATCAAGTCGTCTTTTCTGTTTTCCCTATTCGTTCTTTTAGGGGAACGAGTGAAATATGATTGATTAGCCAGTTACAGGAAAGGTTTGCGGATTTGGTTAAGAGTTGGCGTTAAGTGGGCGTGGTCAGCGAGTGGTGGAAGGCTGTCAAACTGTTATTGGTTCAGCAAACGTTGCTGATGATGTGTGCACGATTTGCACTTGCAGAAGGAGGAAAACAGTCATTTGGCTTTCAAAAGCGATGCTTAAGCTCATCAGCCTCAAGAGTTTTTGCCATGGATAAAACTACGCGGCTTTGGACCGTTTACAACACCAAATGCTCTGATTGGGCCGTCTAACAACAGAACTGAAAATCCTTGCCGCTCGATTGGCCCACCGTCTGAATACTTTCGGTTGTCATCGCAACAGCACCAACGTCATATACAGTTTGAGCAGTTTGCAACAACCGTAGTTTCAATTAACGCCTGAATGTGTTGACAAAAGACAAACGCGCTGTAGACGTGACCAAAGTAGTGTTTTCCTATCCAATTACCAGCGGGCAGACGGATATCTATTGACTTGATAAAAGGCCCCTAACCCAGATTCCAAGTTCCACTCGCTTTCGCCTTTGTTCATTAGGAGAAAACAGCGATATCGATTGATACAAATAACGACACTTCAACCAATTTCGGGCGGTAATTAACAACGCAAGACCAGGAAGCAATAAAAACTCGCTATCTAAACAATCACCGCTACATTAGCTATTTTCTTTCCCAACGAAATCAATGCCTGAGGAGCTGTAAATTAAATCCGATGTAGCGACAGAGTACATGTCTTGTCAGTTTAATGATTCATCTGCAAACGGTCCGTAAGCCAAAGACGGCGACTCTCATCCGCAGAACTCATTGATTTACTGGTTTTTATTACGGCTTCAGTACGTGGCTTAATTAAAAGGAATACGATTCGCTCTCCTCGCTGTTTTTTGTCTATATTTTCGGCAAGTTTAAAACAAAATCAATGCATAGACAACTGGAGACGATCTGTGTGCGGATCATCGGCTAAATATCGTTATTTGAGATCAAGCGCTTAACAGGAAAAAGCATATTGAGAATGCGGCGTAAAAGAATCATTTTTTTTCGAAGTGTGTGACATTCTCCGAGAAAAACACGGTGTCTAAACGGGTAGAGTGTGTGCCGACAGTAACTAGGAACAAGAAAGGGTCAACGCAGTGCGGGTTGTATCAACCTTTTTGTCATCTTCAAATCAGTTTTGGGGGTAATTTTGGGAGTGAGGGTTAAATTAACTGCTGTAAAGTCAGGTTGGCAAGGTAGTTCTTTCCTTGCCTTCTACCTCTGTGGTCCCAGGTTTGATTCCCGGACCGGTCCACATGTGGATTGGGTTTTCAGTCTCTACCCGACTCCGTGGATTTACCCAGAATATTCCTCTGGGGTTTTCCTCCCACCTCTAAAACTGTAACTGTTTCTTATTCTCTCCCCTTTTGATATTGGTGAATGTGGGTCGCTTGGCGGTGCCCGAGGCGCCCGTGTATGCCATCGGCTCAACCTTGTTCAAAGGTATTCATTGTTCCAAGCTTAATGTCTTCATTGTACAGCGCATTTGAACATATTTAAATGAAAGTTGCGCTTTATAAATGGATAAATTAATTATTTTTATCAAGTGAGCAAGAACAGACAATAAATTCCACCCAAAAAGAATGTTCTTGGTATGAGACAAATGAGAATGTTTTTCTCCAGGGTTTCTTGAATGCACAGAAACAAAGGAATATCCATATTCCTCGGTATGTAAGGTAAACATAGCTACCCGCACTGAGACTGCAAGGACAGAAGAAAGTTCACAAAGGAAAAGCCAATTTCGCCCGACGTTTCCCCTGAGTGAGTCATTCTTTTCCCGTTCAAAATGTAGCCTGTGGGCTTGGATCCGAGAAAAACCGGCCGTAAGTGCAAAACTTCAACCACGACGTCACCGCAAAAATCTACCTCTTTCTGGTGACCCACAAGAGGCGGGGGGGGGGAATTGGGTCAATTGGACGCACTATAATCCTTAGCAGGCTGAATTGGTGGATTGTTTTTCTTTTTTAGTGTTGGGTTTTTCAATTGGATGTTGTCCCTGGGAATTCCTGCCACCTTTTACAATTTTCTCTCCACAGATTTCATCGGTTTTGTTAGCGTATATTTTATTGGCCATTTAGATTAACCCTTAAGTAGTTTAATACAACGAAGATTGGACAGCAGCGATCCACTTTATCGCAAGCATGGAGTTTGTATGGCAGAAACGTGCCGTGTCGACCTATCCAGTCCTTTTCTCGATCGAGATACATGTATTGGTGTATTTTTGTTGAAGTGAAGATACGCACCTTACCTTACACCCTGCCAGTCGCTCCCCCCCTCAAAAAAGGTACCTCCTCACAGCTTTGTCAGTAAATGTGACAAGAGGAGAGCATGCCATGCAGTCACCGTATCCTCCGTCACCAGGTAACACAATGAGAAGATTTCACACCACATTCACCATCTCAAAAGTCCTGAAACTCATTTTCTCTCTCGGTTTGTCCCCTAATATGACGGCAGCATTGTGTGTGCTGGCGCCGTGGTTATGTCTTAACCCATAAATCTTTGAATCCACTCCCTCCGCTGTTCATCGTCCTATTCTGCTCATCCCAGTTCCCATTCACGAATGAGATTCACATTTCGAACTGAATTCTTTTCCGAGGGATGGGAAGAGTGCATTTTGTGTATCAAAAAATACACAATTAAAAAAAAAAAAGTAGACGGGATGAGTGTTTGGCGGGCGTGAGAACTTTAAACAAGCCCCCGTCTTTTGGAGGAGAGACTAATTTGTTTCAAATAGAGAATGACAACAGAGGTGTGGGAGGGCACGCATTCAGCACACGACTAGGCATCCGTTAACTTAGCTGCGCAAACACTGCGCATGCGTTCGTGGTTCCCGCCGACAGGCGACGCCAGAAAATTAATCTTGCGTTTGCGCATAACTTAGATCGGGGCCCAGCCGAAGTATGCTAATTACTACAGTTGCGCCGCGGGTTTGCGTTTCCCCATTTTTAATACCCTTTCTTGTGCAACGTGCATCGTTGTTTTCTCGTTTTAATGGGTCAAAACAAGGGATTTGTTATGTACGGAAAAATCCCTGGGCATTAAAATAATGCTTGGAACCGGACGGGGCTAAGAGAGCAAGGGGGGGGTATAACAAGCAATAACAGGAAACTTTGAAAGCCAGCAATTTGACAGCAGCAAGAAGTTGAAAGAAATGGGCTCTGATCAGGTCAAAAGTTCTGCTTTAATAAGGCAGGGATGCTTGGAGACAGGAGATTAAATGTTTTAACCCTAACCCTCAAGGGTGTATGTAAAATCGTATTGAAATTGGAGGATTTGGGACTGTTATGGTTAATATAATGGGAACCAGAAGTGGTGCGTACCAATAATCTACAACGACTGTCGAAGCGTCCAAGACAAGACCTTTTTGAGTACCATCAAAATGAGATGGTAAATTGCTGTTAAGTTTGGCAGGTGTTTGGACAGCAGACAAGCCAAGGGAGATGGGTGCACAGTAGCAGAATGCAACAAGATGGAAAATATTATAGAAAACAATGCAAAATCAATTTAAAATGTTTGTTGTGAACACAAGACCTAAGTGTTGAAAATGGACAATGAAAGCACCAGACGCTGTATCACCAAAAAAAACAAAACAAAACAAAAAACAAACAAAAACTAATGTTAACGAATCTTACTAGTGTCTTCATGACTCCATTTTGTGATTAACCCATCAGATGGGACATTGTTCTTTTGCAACGAAACAATACCTGGGCTATATTTGCGTGGTTTTTAAAGCCATAGTGAACACGGGTACCCAGTCTGTAGCGTATAGTGACAAAAACAGTCTGATTTCAGATAACTCCAATGCAGTAACATGTATTGCCTGCAGTGTATTAACTGGTTATAGAATTTGAATGAAATTGACATGATACATGCAGCATTAATCTTTGATAATGAATTTAACTGGGGAGATGGATCCTGCGATATCTGTTTTGCTGACTCCACGGGACAATAGGATAGCTTCAGCAATGGAGAGGATACCGTATATGCCTGTGTCGTCTCTGATCACTGATGAGTCTGTAGAAATTCGTGAGCATGCGCCTGGGTCTGAAACCTGTTTCTATACTGAATTGTGTTTTTTTTTTGTTTCCAGTCCCAGTCTGATTACCTGGGTTTTTACCCAGAAGATTCCTCTTGGGATTTCTTCCAACTCCCTTAATAAGACTTTGACTGCTTCTTATTGTCTCCTCTTTACATGTTTCTTCAGGCTTGCGGGCCAAAGTCCCTACGGCGCTTTGAGGAATCCTTGGTGTCATTACCAGAAATGATCAATGATCACAACAACCCTTTATTAACCGGCGAGGCAACTCCATGGTAACGACAGTTAGTTCTTTTCCGCATCTTTTAGGGGAGAGTTGTTGTCTTGATGGAGGGCTTACACGGAGTATAAACCGACTTGACAATGGGGAGGGGGGGACAGACAGATACACAAAAACCACACAGCGAATCAAAAAAGTACAATTATTTTGTTTTTATTCACAATTTGGACTCCAGATCTACTTAGGTGGAAATAGAAGCGAATAACTTAACAAGGAAAGTTTATTCTATATCGTGCATATTTTCCCACTACAATATCCACATTGACATCTGGTCCGCAGATGAATTATCAGTTGCCTAGAAGCTTGAGTTATCTTTTCCCTCGCGTTTGAAGAGTGCTCGCCATTTAAACGATTCAAACGATCGTGTGAATTTGCGTTTATCAGGCAACCTAGGCACTCACTTCCTAAAGAAATGTCTACATGGGGATATAATGAAAAAAAATATGATATGCATGTCTTTTTATTTAAACTGACAATGGCCTTTTCCCACTTCAAAATATAAAAACCATCGCAATTTCGTCGCCTGCACTTCCTATTCAAAAAATTAATTAAAAATCGGTGTACATTAACCTCTATATCTCCTCTAATACAATATTCGCTGGTATTTCCGATGGCGGGTTCCCTCTGTTTGTTTACAAGACAATTGTTGATAAAAAGGGACGCTCGTTGTGTGTACATTTAACAAGTCGTGGCATTTTGTTATCTTTTCTTTTCCTTTTTATAACCGTATTACCAATAATAAGCTCCCGGCGAGCGTGCGGCATCGGGG